GCCCGGCTTCTTTTTCTTTTTTACTAAATGAGACAGGATCTCACGAAGTCTAGGCTGGCCTCAGACTCCTGGTTTAACCTAGGATGACCCTGACTAGGATGGTCCTCTGCAGCCACCAGGTCTTGTTTCTGTGACTTCTGGTGAGCAAACCCAGGGCTTCACGCCTGTTAGGCAAGTACTCTACCCACAGAGCCACAGCCTTAGCCTCGTCCCTTAACCATCTCAACAACTTGTTTTTGTGTCTAGAACAGCACATTCCACAAACCTGAGGAGAGGGGCAGGCTGTGTAAAGGAGGGGGGCACTAACCAAAGTAAAAACAAAGAACAAGAGCACAGAGTGTGTTTCAAATCGGCTTTCCTTGTAAAGGTGGACAGAGACAGAGCTATGGAAAAGAACTGATTAGTTAACATCAGGTTACTTGATGTTACCCCACCCCCACCCTCAAAGCCTTATCCATGAAAGCTCTCTACTACAGAGTTCCACGCCTGTCCCAAAGGTCACCGAGTGTGTGTGTGTGTGTGTATGTGTGTGTGTGTGTGTGTGTGTTCATGCGTTAAGACATGACCTCAAACAGACCTGTGTAGGAAATAAAGCTATTATCTCATTTTTCTGGCTTTTTAAATTTTCAGGTAAATGGTTGAGTTTTATTTGATGGCTGGGAGCTTTAGACAGAGTGACTTCATTTTGGTTTTTAGTCTTATTTGCCAGAGCCCAGGGCAAGCAACTAACTCTAAATCAGGATCTCCTGTAATTTGTTGTGGGGATGGGGTGGGGTGGGGTAGGGGGTGGGGTGGTGTACATGCATGTTGAGGGAGGGCAGAGGTCAATTTGAGTGCCTTAAATCACTTCCCATCTTGTTTATTCATGGGGTGTGTGTGTGTGTGTGTGTGTGTGTGTGTGTGTGTGTGTGTGTGAGTGTGTAGTGTATCAGAACACAGCTTGTGGGAGTCAGTTCTCTCCTCCTTCCGCCATGCGGATTCCAGGGATCCAACTCAGATCATTGGTTGAGGCAGCAAGAGCCTACCTGCTGAGCCTTCTCCTCTCTCTGAGGCTGCCTCTCTCACCGGATGTGAAGCTCCTAGCTTTGGGGGGCCTGGCTGACTCCTCTCCCCCAGTGCTGAGTTGGCAGACATCAACTACAGTGCCAGCTTTTTACATGGGTGCTGAGGACCCAAATCCAGGTCCTCATTCCTGCATAACAAGAGCTTTGTCACCGAGCTGTCTCCCCAATTCCAGTCTCCTGCCGTTTTTACTGAGCAGTTTGACCACTTGTTTTGAGTCTTTGGGGTGCTATGTTCCTACCATTGTTAGGTCACGTGGTGGTTCTCTGTTGCACTTGTGGGAGAACTGCCCTCTTGTTTCCCACAGTGGAACCTTTTCACACTCTCACCAGCAATGGACTAGGATTCCAATTTCTGCACGTCATCATGACACTTCGGATCACTTACTCAGGGTTTTTTTTTTTTTTTTTTTTAACCTACTTTCTCAGTAAAAATGAATCATACGCCGGGCAGTGGTGGCGCACGCCTTTAATCCCAGCACTCGGGAGGCAGAGCCAGGTGGATCTCTGTGAGTTCGAGGCCAGCCTGGGCTACCAAGTGAGTTCCAGGAAAAGGCGCAAAGCTACACAGAGAAACCCTGTCTCGAAAAACCAAAAAAAAAAAAAAAAATGAATCATACCTCATAATAATTGACACACACACACGTTCATGGGTGCCAGGGTGCACATGTTTGTGCTGGAGGTGTGTGCGTGAGCATGTATGTGGAGGCCAGGTGACCTCCAGTATCATTCCCCCTCAGCTCTGTCTGCTTTGGTTTTGAAGACAGGCTTTCATTGGCCTGCTGCTCTCTGGCTGCCCAATGAACCTAAGAATCGGTTTGTCGCCCGCCAGGCAATGGTGGCACATGCCTTTAATCCCAGCACTCGGGAGGCAGAGCCAGGCAGATCTCTGTGAGTTCGAGGCCAGCCTGGTCTACAGAGTGAGATCCAGGACAGGCACCAAAACTACAGAGAAACCCTGTCTCGAAAAAACCAAAAAATGAAAAAAGAATCGTCTTGTCTCCACCTCCTCAGGGTTAGGATTACAAGTGTATACCATGGACCTCTGCTCTATGTTTCTTTGTTTGTTTGTTTGTTCTTTTTTGTAACAGCTCTGGCTGTCCTCACTCACTCTAGACCAGGCTGGCCTTGAACTCATAGAGATCCTCTTTCCTCTGCCTCCCAGAGGGATTAAAGGCGTGGCCCCCACCGGAGCCCCCAGCTTTTCACATAGGCTCTAAGGATCGAACTGGGGTCTTCACACTTGTGCAGTAAACAGTTTCCTGACCGAATTATCTCCAGAGCCCCTCAGAGAGTGTAGTAGTTTTAATTTGCATGTTGTATATTTATTGGAAAGGTGTGTATGCAGCCTCACGTACATCAGGAAAACGGTCTTCCACTAAGCTGGGGCCCTAGGCCCTCTGTCCATGTTCAGATGGTTGTTTGCTGGGGTATTTCGTAGGTTCCAGACACTTGGGCTACACATGCAGTCTGAACACATGTGTTACCAACACTGAGACATGAAGAGAATGTTGTTTTTTTCTTTAACTTCCTTGTTCTCAGCTTCTCTTAGGAAAACAGATCTGGACTTGAATTCCCACACACTAGCTCTCTAAGGGCACCTTTAGGTGAGGTTGGGCTTTGTCTCTTGTTCCCTCACAGAACTTGCTTGGCTTCAGGCCTGGCCACAGAGGGCCTTGGGTTTTGCAATCCCCAATTGAAGCTGCATAGTTACTTTAGTTTAGTTTTGGAGAGAGACCGATCGGCTTTGCTGGCCCTTCTCCAGCTCTTTCAGCGTCTCCCATAGGCATTAAGAAACTCGAATGTAGCAGCTCCCCTTTGGGCCAGGTGTTCAGGGTGTGTGCAGAGAAGTAAAATGCTCAGGCCTTTGAAATGACTAAATGGCTGGGGTAGTTCCTGTGTTTATGAGCAAATTACACTGGTATGAGTTTCTAGAACTCTTTTTTTTAAACATTTTATCTATTTATTATTTTATGTTTTTGATTTTTATGTTTTGTGTGTTTTGGCTTGCATGTGTATCTATGGACCACATGTATGCAATGCCTGTGGCGGCCAGAAGAGGGCGTTTGAGCCCGCCCCCTCTGTGTCTTAGGGTTTCTACTGCTGTGAAGAGACACCATGACCACAGCAACTCTTAGGAAAACATTTAATTGGGGTGACTCGCTTACAGTTCAGAGGTTCAGTCCACTGTTATCACGGCGGGACATGGTAGCATGTAGGCAAGGTAGCACACAGGCAGACATGGTGCTGGGGAAGGAGCTGAGAGTTCTACGTCTTGATCCACATGTAACAGGAAGTGACCTGAACACTGCGCATAGTTTAGGCATAGGAGTCCTCAAAGCCCACCCCCACGGTGGCACCCTTCCTCCAACAAGGCCACACCCCCTATAGTGCCACTCCCTTTGGGGGCCATTTTCTTTCAGACCACCACACCCTGGAACTGGAGATACCGACAGTTGAGAGCAGCCTTGTGGGCGCTGGGAATGGAACCGGGACTTCTGAAGGGGCAGCCAGGTGCCTTCAACTGCTGAGCCTTCTCTCCAGCCCTGAGTTCCTAGAACTCTTAACTCTTTGGAGAAACTGCTGGCTCCCCCTTAATACTGCGCTACCCTCTTGTGCCACTTGATAGAAATATGGAAAAAAGGAACAGGGAGGTTAGATACTCCCTGATGATCGGACTTGGGATGAAGGCAAAGGGCGGGCGGAGCAGGCCTGACAGTAACATGGGGCAGTTGCACCAGCTTCCCATTCCCAACTTAGCTGTTCCCATCCTTTTTGACCCTTGACATCTTTGCACATCAGCCTCCTTACCTTGAGAACGGGTGATTATAATTCTTACCCGTACTTCTTCATGGTTGGGGCTAGCCTGGCACTCACATGTAGCTCAGACTGGCCTCCTCTTCCAGGTGCTGGGATTACAGGTGTGTGCCTGAGAAACCTGTTTTCTGAGGGTGACGGAAGGAGATGGAGTCTCTTTTCCAGGGACAGTCTGTCTTGGCTGACCTAGGACATCCTCACTGGGGCACCAGCTCCTCTTTGCCTGTTGTCCGTGGTACTTGAGGTCACCATGTGGTCCAAGCGCTGCCATCCTTTGCTGGAATGCGACACCCTCTGCTTTGCTACAGCATCTGAGAGTGGGAACCTGGGGGCACTGCCTGGGGAGTGTCGGACTCCTCTTTTCTGGGCACACAGCCCCTTACTCAGACCTTTCAGCCGTCTTTCCTGGTGCCACCCTCTGGTTCTTAAACCCCTCGCCTATTCTGTCTTTGAATTTCTGACCCAGAAGAGATAAACTGGCCCATTGAGGAGCCAAGAAACCCAAGGCATTGGTTCCCAGTTCTGGGTCCCACCATGAGCTTCACTGGTTCCCCAGGAAGAACCACAGTGACTGTCACCCTCCAGGAGGCAGGAGCTGGGGGCTCAGGTGCGGTAGCTTTTGGTGATATCTGCCTGTCTGTGCATCAGGTTCCCCAGCCACCCCCGGTCACCTCATCATTTCCAGGAAGGTGCAGGAGGCTCTTGCCCCAGCTTAAGATGGCCTTGTCCCCATCCTGCTGCTTGCAAGTTCGGCTTGAGGTTAGGAAAAGAGAGCAAGTGAGGACAGTAAGTTTGCAAGATCTGGAGAGGGCTTGAGGATGTAGTTCAGTCTCCAGCAGAGAATGAAGCTGGATGTGCTAGTGCATGCCTGTAACCCAGCACCCAGGAGGTGGAGGCAGAAGTTCAAGGTTATCCTCTGCTAAATCATAGTGAATTTGAGGCCAGCCTGGGATACATTAGACCTTATTTAAAAAAAAAAAAGGTCTAGAGAAAACCTATTGGTCCTCAATATACCGACATATTGTAAACAACTGGATTGCTAATTAGCTAGGTGTGCCAGAGTGTTGGTGCCAGAGAGGCCCAGCCTGGCACCAGTCCAGTCCATGGTTCCTCTCTCCACAGCTCTGGAACGGTGAATTGCACCAATCCCTTGCCCATCGGAGGCCTCAGTTACATTCAGGGCCACACCAACTCCCACCTTGTCAACACGACTGTGGGTGAGTGCCTGGATGCCACAGCACAGAAGTTCCCCAACAGGGAGGCTTTGGTTATCCTCCATGAAAACATCAGGCTGAACTTTGCACAGCTCAAGGAGGAGGTAAGTACTGACCTTGAACCTTCCAAGGGCAGCCACTGGTCCCTAGCTGTTAGAGCTGAACGGAGCGCCCATGAGAGTGGGCGCATGCCCGTGGGGCAGTGTGCTGGGAACTCCTGAGGTTCCTACTGTTGGCATTAGGAGACAGAGGCGGAAGTGATCTAGATGTCTCTTGACCCAGTGGTTCCTGGAATATTTGTTTACTGTGTCGACTCCTTACCGTCATTGTGTTGAGTCCACTGAGGCCTGGCAATCCGTTTGTTCCTAGTGACTCCTGGGCTAAGAGAGAGAGTAGCATTCAGGGGTCCCTTGTCCTCACCTCACCTGTTTTCCCCGTCTGTTTATACCAGGTGGACAAAGCTGCTTCTGGTCTCCTGAGCATTGGCCTTCGCAGGGGTGACCGGCTGGGCATGTGGGGACCCAATTCCTATGCATGGGTGCTTATTCAGTTGGCCACTGCCCAGGCAGGCATCATCCTGGTGAGAAGGGGTTTACCTGGCACCACTGGGTATGTGGAGGGATGTCATTCAAGGGGAGCCTCTTAGATATAGAACCAAACCCGTGTCTGTCTGGCTTCTGGCTTGGTAGTGCTTTTACCCAAGGTTCGCCAAAGAGCCCTGGCAGAGTGTAGGATGCTGCTTCTGAGGGGAGCAGTGAGAGAGTGGAACATCTACCCAGGACACTGACATACCCTCTCTGTTCCCCCAGGTGTCTGTGAACCCAGCCTACCAGGCCTCAGAACTGGAATATGTCCTAAGAAAGGTACCACTTGCCCCTGGTGGGGAGGGGAGTTTCTCATGATAGAGTTTTATAGAGGCTGATGGGATGAGAAAGGACATGCTCAGTGGATAACATTACAGAGTGTCTCTCCTCAGGCTACATATGGTTGGGAGGAGGTCTTGGCTCCACAGAGTGTGTATGGGTCAGCCATAAGGCTGATGTGGGTGTTAGGGGTGAAGTGTGTATGTCAGGGTAGTGTGTGTGTGTGTGTGTGTGTGTGTGTGTATTTGTGTGTTTTAGAGTAGAGTGCACCTTAGTACATTGGAAGCTGTGTGTGTGTGTTGCTACTTGGGTATGTCTGGATAGCTATTCAGGTATAGGAGAAAGAGATCAAGACATTACTGATAGCCCCTAAGTCTGGGCTTCCTGCTGATCACAGGTAGGGGGACTTCTCCTTCCACAGGTAGGCTGCAAAGCCATTGTGTTCCCTAAGCAATTCAAAACCCAGCAATATTACAACATCCTGAAGCAGATCTGTCCTGAGCTGGAAAAGGCCCAACCAGGGGCCTTGAAGAGTGAGAGGTGGGTATGTCCTGGGTTTGTGGAATATCAAGTGACATCTCAGACTCCTACCTCCTACCCAAGGCGGAGCTGATGTCTTCCTGGACTGTCTTCTAGCCGCATGTCACCATCCTCTCTGTCTCCCAGGCTCCCAGATCTGACCACAGTCATCTCAGTGGATACCCCTTTGCCAGGGACCCTGCTGCTCGATGACGTGGTGGCAATCGGTAGCAAGGAGCAGAATCTGGCCCAGCTGCGGTACCACCAGCAATTCTTGTCCTGTTACGACCCCATCAATATCCAGTTTACCTCGGTAAGACAGCGGTCTCCAGTCCCAAGCCTAGATGAACCCTGTGCCCTGCCCATGTGGCCCCTGGGATGGAGAGATGGTAGAGAAAGTCAGGAGAGCGACACTCTCTCCTGATTCTGGCCTCCAGCCCTCCTCTCTGCCTCATAAAATCATCAACTGGTGTTTTTGTTACTCGCCCCTTCTGGGTCCTGTTGCTTCCAGCCCAGAGCAGATTTACGGGAGTCACCAGGGCTGGGAGAGGTGGACCTCATAGAGCCTATCAAGGGGAATCAGGCTCAGAGAGGGAACTTCTCCAAACCCATGGAGCTCGTTAGTGGCAGATCCTCTGAGCCACCTTATATGACATGTAAACTGGACAAAGACAGCCCTGTTGCGTGCTCTTTTGCGTTTCTGCACCCTTGCATCGGGGCCTGCACAGCTCACTGTGCATAAACAGAGGGAGGGGATGGATTCAGGACAACCATATCCTTCTACTTTTATGACTCTTAGCCCCCAGCTCCCCTGAGCAGTGGTCAAAGATGGGAAGGGAACATGGACAAAAAGGCCAAGCTGTCACTTGCTTATCTTCTTAGGGGACTACTGGCAGCCCCAAGGGGGCCACTCTTTCCCACCACAACATTGTAAACAACTCCAACCTGATAGGCCAGCGGCTGAAGATGCACACGAAGGTGAGGTTTATATAGACTGCAGGGAGCACAGCTGGGCAGAGTGGGACAGCTTGCCGAGCTCCCCCTGCTGGTTGGAAGAACTGACTCCATGATAGACCCAGCCTCCTGTCTCCATCTCCAGACTGCAGAAGAGTTGCGGTTGGTCCTGCCCAGCCCCCTGTACCACTGCCTGGGCTCCGTGGGGGGCACCATGGTGTCTATGATGTATGGTGTCACTCTCCTCCTGTCTTCTCCAAGCTTCAATGGCAAGAAGGCGCTGGAAGCCATCAGCAAAGAGAAGTGGGCATTGGTGGACAAGCCACCTGTGGGCTAATGAGACCCTCCAAATCCTCACTCCTGGATCCCGTCCCCCTTTCTGAGATGCTTCCTTCCTCCAGCCAGGAGACCTGGGATGAGGGGCGGGGCTAGAGGACCAGGTCCCACCTTGAGCTTCTTCCTGTTCACTGAGAGTTCGTGGTGGGAGGGAAGGGGTCCCCTCTTACTTCTAAACCTAATCTTGAGACCTTCCTTTGTGCAGAGGCACCCTCCTGTATGGCACCCCCACGATGTTTGTGGATGTTCTGAATCAGCCGGACTTTTCCAGTTATGACTTCTCATCTATACGTGGAGGTGAGGTGCAGTGTGGTCAGAGGAACCAAGGCTTGAGGCAGGTCAGCTTCCCTGACCCTGGTGAAGCCAGTTTCTTATGTAGAAGGCAGAAAGGGACACCATAAGAAGATAATCGAGAGGGAGGTAATTCCCAAGTGTCCCTGGATGCTGGGCCAACCTCAGCTTTTATGTGGTGTGCCAAGGCTCAGGGTCTCTCTCCTTACATGAGTAGGTGAAAGGGGTCTAGTGGACTACAGAATGGGGACATGTGTTAGCTTCTCTTATTTCTTTGTGATACTGAGGATTGAACCAGGGGCCTCCTGCATGGCGGGCAAGTGTTCTGTGATAGAACTGTATCCCTAGCCCTTTACTGAGTGTTTTTGAGACAAGATCTCACTAAGCTGCCCGAGCTGGCCTTGAACTCACTCTGTATCCCAGTCAGACTTGGAATTTGCAATTCTCCTGCCTCAGCCTCCCAAGTAGCTGGTATTCCAGGCCTACACCACCAATCCCATCATCCTCTCTTCCTGATTCAGGTGTGATTGCTGGGTCCCCAGCCCCCCCGGAGTTGATCCGAGCCATCATCAACAAGATGAACATGAAGGAACTGGTGGTGAGTGGTGGTCAGAGCCCGGGTAGGTCTGGGAAAGGCCAGGCCTGTAGTGAGTTGGGACTGATAAGCGAGACCAGAAGCCCCAAGGTGAACCTCCAGGTTGTTCTCCGCTTCCTGGAGCAGAGGTGAGGCAAAACTGTGAGCTTATTAACTAACGCCTGGTGAGGTGTAGGGAAAAGTGAGAGGGAGTGAATGTTATACACACATAAAATTATGTTTATAGAAATCTGGGGCAGAAATGCAGCATGGGAGGAGTGCAGCCAAGCACTGTATCCTGTTAGCACGTCCTGGCAGGCAGGGACTGGGGACATGGGCTTGAAATCCTTTCTGGCAGTGAGGGTGGGACAAGGGCCTGATGTTTGTTTCCAAATGGCAGGGGAGGGCGGGAACTGGGGAAGGTGGTTATAGGGGTGTGGCCATCCCAGTGACCACACTGCATTTCGGCTCTGAGAGACTCAGGGTAGGGAGTTCTGCACTGGCTTCCCTGAGAGGAGCCATGCACAGTGCCTGGGGAGAGGCGCTGTGTCCTCCCTTGGACCCCATTAGGTGGAGCTAGGGTGGTAACAAAGAGTCCAGGGCTCCCTGCCAGGATGTGTCTAGGTGTGGGCAGCTCTGTGCATCGGCAGAGGCCGTGGGAGAAGGTGTGGATGGTAGGGAGGGAAGTCAGTAGTCACTCCAGCAGAAGACAGTCACCAGGACTGGCTGAGACAGGACCTGCAGTAAAGGAAGGATGGTGGTTACGTCTTCAGTCGCCCAGATGGCATCAGAGAGAATGGTGGAAATCCTAGGCCAAGCCCTTGGAGGGGGAGACCCAGTGCTCCCCTCCTTTTCCTGTAAGACAGAGGGTCTGATCGCCCCTCCAGAGATGGCGTCATGGGAGGTAGCAATACCCTGGCTGGAATCTCCAGGGGCAGACAGTGGTGGCCTCCCTGCCCGGCCCCCACCTGTTTAATGGCGGCCGGCTTTCTTGGACCTCTTGGTGGGGGATTTGCAGCTGCGGAGGGCGTCTGTGTCACGAATACGCTGACCCTTGAACTTGGCTGGTGAGGAGCAGGTGGCATCTGGCCGAGAAGTCTTGGCTTCCAACCACCTGCGGAGACAAAGAGTTGCTGGACTTGGGGAAGCTGGGTGGGGATGCTTGGGGAAGGGACAGTGACCAGGATGGACTCTGGCCCTAGAAAAATCTGGAGCTGTCATCTTCATTTGACAAGTGAGAAAACGGAGCCACTCGGTCCCAGACCCACTAGGTAGCCAACTAGGATGTATGTCTAGGCCGCCCTACCGCAGGACCTTCATGCGAAGGAGAAACTGAGGATATGTGGAGGAAAATGCTTACCGCCGAAGGCCACGGAGCTGGCAGGTGCATTTCCATGGGTTGTTGGTGAGAGTTAGGGTCTCCAGGTTGTCGAAGGGGAAGGTGGAGGGCAATTGGTTCAGGCGATTGTTCTCCAGATGGACGTGTTTCAGTGTGGTCACACCCAGGAAGGCACCATCTGAGATCTGGGAGGTATGGAAGGCAGAAGTGAGAGAGAGAGCCTCAACTCCAGCCCAGGCTCTCCTAGCTCTCTCCTCAGAGGCCAGAGGCTTGGACACAAGCAGCCTGTTGAGGAGCTGCGATTTTCCAAGAAGAATGACCAAGTTGTCTAGATGATGTAATCCACAACACCCTTTGGAGATGGAAGGTGTCCTTTCCAATATGTAGATGGAAAATGTTCAGGCCTTTGGCCAGGATCACCTAGCCAGTAAACAGTAGCTGCAGGGCCACGCCTTGCCCCCCACCTCCAAGACAGCACCCTCCCTGCACAAACACTGGGTCTGGGGAGCAGCCAGAGCTTGGCTCGGAGAGCCCAGGCTGGCACACAGTGAACCTGGTTAAGTGTTTGGTGGGATGGGCAGTGAGCCCAGGCTCCCCACATCCCCAGGGTCCCAGGATTTCCCCCAGTACTGTCCTCATTGCTCCTCTACCCTCTGCCAGATGTTATTTGTGGAGCCACCTTGGTGGGGACTTTGGCCAGGATGGACGGCTCCAGAGGAAATGTATTGGTGCCCTCGTCTGAGCCCTGGTGCCACAGTTCCTGTCTGGGCTCTCCATTCCAAATTGTTCTACTGCCCACCACTCTGGCACTAGGGTAGTCTGCCTTCAGCTGGAGTGAGGCCAGGCTGAAGAAGACCCACCCAGACAGAAAGCTCTGTCTACCCAGACAAGATTACCCCTGCCCAGATTAGCTTCTGCCCTAAGCCCCCTGTGTGTGTCCTCTCTCACAGCCCAGGTTGAGATGTGACATTCTCTAGTAACAAAACTGTCCTCTATCTTGTTCTGGTCCCTGCCCAAACCTCCTGGCTGAAACTGTGTGCCAGAGGGGTGATTTTCTAGTTCCAAGAAAAGGATTTTGCTCCTACATAGCCCCACCTGGCTAGACTGATCGTCCCAGTGGGGGATGAGAAGGGGGGAGAGGTCTAACGACCGACCGGGGAAGACAAAAGTCAACACACTGTCTGGGGGACAGTGAGACGGTCAGTCTGTTCTGTGAGGAGACACTTTGGGGGGTGCGCCGAGGATGACATGTGTTCCTTCACGGGCCCCACGAGCACCAAGCCTGCACCTTGGTGGAGCCTTTGGTCTGTTTTCCTACTCAGTTGAAATGGACCTGAGCTTGCGGTAAAATTGGGTGTGTTCGGACCCACAGAGGGGATGGGGCATCCATCAGGGTCTCCGGGAGTGTGGAAGAAGTCCCCTAAAGGCATTTGCCACCCCCCCCACTCATCCTCCAGCCCCTCATTTTACCTTAGCACACTGGCAGCCCCACCAGGAACAGGGACTCTTTGTGAGTCGGAGTCACTTAGCCTCTCTGTAAGGTGCCTCAGTAGACAGACCCTTCCTTTATGGGATGGCAGGCTTACGGGAGACTGGGAAAACGGCGGCGGCAGAGGAGGGGTGGAAAGCTCGACAGGAAGAGATGCCTGCTGCTGCTCAGTGTGGGATTTGGGGCCAGACGCCTCCCCAGAGGCCATTTGTGAGACCAGAACAGCCCATCTCTTATAAGGAGGAGTCCCGAGAGAGTGTTACTGAGAAGCATAGTGACCAGGTGAGGGAGAGAGGGATGGAGGCTGGGTGATGTGTCAGTCTGAGAGAGATGGCAGGCTCCTTGCTTTGATAATTGAGGGGGTGGGGAGTCCAGGAGGAGAGACTAGGCTGGCCTCCCAGCGGAGAAGGAGCCAGGAGAACTCCGCAGCCAGGGCACTCACCTTCTCCAGGTTGGTGTTGTCTAGCCAAAGGGTCTCCAGGTATCTGCCGAAGGACTGGAAGGCGTTGTCTGGGATGCTCTTCAGGGGGTTGTGGGACAGCTTCAGCTCCTCCACCACCCGAAGTTTGCTCAGGGCAGCCGAGGGGTAGCTAGACAGCTGGTTCTTGTCCAGGTGGAACTTGGCGAGGTTCTCCACATCATCCAGGGCTCCAGGCTGCAGGGAACTGAGGGCGTTTTCTGACAGGTAGAGCCAGCGCAGGTCCTTGGCACCCTGGAAGGCTCCAGCTCGCAGCTCTCGGATTTTGTTATTGTTGAGCTGCAGGATGAAGAGGTTGACCAGAGGGGAGAGCAGCCCCCGGGGCAGCTCCGAAACCTTGTTGTGGTCTAGATAGAGGTAAGTGAGTTCAGTCAGGTCATCGAAGGCTCCAGCTCGCAGCACCCGGATGTCATTGTGGGACAGGTACAGGTAGATGAGCTGCTTCAGGCCTCGGAAGGCACCGGCGGCCACCTCGCGGATGTTGCAGTGCTGCAGGTGCAGGGAGACCAGGTTCGGCATGGTCCGAAACGAGTTGGCAGCCAGCACTGGGAAGTTGTTGCGCTGGAGGTTGAGCAGTTTGGTTGTCTCCGACACCTTGGGGATCTTCTGCAGCCCCACCTTGTCACAGATGACATGCTGCAGGTCGCCATGGCAGTGGCAGTTCTGGGGGCAGGCGGCCAGCGCCGGCAGGAGGATGGCGGCAAAGAAGCTCAGACTGAGTAAGAGCACGCGGGCCATTGCCGGGACGCCTGGAGTCAGGGCTGGGGGCTGCGGCGGCGGCGGGGCGCTGGCAGCGGCAAGTCCTAGATTCTTGGGTCTCTCGGCCCATTTATAGGGCAGCCCTGACCGCAGCTGGCAGCGGAGCCAGCTACTACGTGGAGCATCGAAGCCACTGACTTAACCCCCTCCCGCCCAGAAATGCGCCCCCTGTCCTCGATGGCTAGGGGCTCTTTCCACAGCAGGAGATCATGCGTAGTGTTGGGGACCCTTTTCCTGAGCCCCAGTCCCTTGCTTCCGGCTCGCAAACTCTATGCATCACTTCTCCCTATCCTCCTCTACCTGGACCCCCACCCTTGTGGTGGGGCAATAGATGTGTTGAGGACCTCTGAATTTCCACTGGGCAGAGGGAGGCGTTCCCAGAACTTATTTATTTGCTCAAGTTTGAGACTCCACGTCCCCCTCCCCCATACACCCTTGGCAGACAGGTCACCCTGGACTCAGGGAGGGAGGAAGTGGGGCCCGACAGCCGGATGCGTCTGGCCGCTGTCTGCCAGCGGTGCTTTAATGGATGGGGCTGTTTGTGCCCTGCAGGCGAAGCGTGAGAGCATCTCTGTGGTTTGGGCTCCCGCTTCTGGGTAGACCCTCCTCAGTTCACCCCAAGGAGATGGGAGAGCTGGTTAATGATGCTGGTTGACAATGGTGCACTCGCCTCTGCCCCTTCTCCCTGTAGGAGCCCAGGTTGTGGCCTTTCCCATGACCCCTCTCTCTTAGTTCTGGGCTTCCTAGTCTGTCCTTTGTACCCGCGTTCCCCTTTTCTAGGGCTGAAGGCTAAACAGAAAAGTGGGAATTGGTGTGTGTGGGGAGTGAACCACAGGCCACTGAACAAGCACGGTTGCACATTCCCCTCCTTAATCTCCCCAAATATCCCCATTTCTGGATCCTCCCCTCCCCCGTGGTTAGGACCCACCCCTAAGGGGGTCTCATAGTGGCGGCCTAGTGGCGCCAATGTGTACTTGGCAGAGGCCAGACCTGGGCAATGACCCCAGGACTGTGTGAGTTGGTGGGAGGTGGGGTGCTGGCTACAGGCGACAAACCTGGGCCAGATGCGAGGCTGTGGGCAGCCCCGCCCTAGTGGACCGGGCTTCTGTTCACTCGCCAGCCACACTGTCTGGAGCCCTGTGGAGAAGGCTGGGTGAGCAGGCAGGTTACAGTTTTGGCCCAGGGTGAGCTTTGGATTGCCTGGCAAGAGATGCCGTCTGTTTTGGGAGGTGGGAGAGGAACCATACCCCAACTATGCCAGAACCACACCACCTGATAGAGTACAAAGTATCTAGACCTCATGACACCCAATACATAGTTATGGGGTTTGGTCTCCAGGCCTGTTCTTCCCTAAGCTCCTCTGACCCCTTGCCTCTAGAATGCAGGGTGTGTGGGTCGTTCTTGGCCTAGAATATTCTCTGATGGTATTTAGGCTGGCTGCTAGTTTTTCTGTGCACAGGATGTTCTAACCACTGGAGGTGCCACAGGCCTTTTAAATTCTGCTTGGGCTATGTTTTTGTTTTGATGAAAATAAATGCATAGGAAAAATCTCCAGAACTTTCAGGGGCACCCATCCTAAGACCAGGTGCTTGTCCCAGGTTGGAGGGGAGTTGTGTCTGTGTGTCTGTACTGCTCCCAGCTAGATCAAGCAAAGCAGGCTGGCTTTCTCATCAAGTTTATGGGGCCTTTGGCTAGGAAGAGAGGGACAGAGGATGTGGTAGCCTGAAATCGAGAAGGTAGGACTGAATCAACCTGGAGATGGGAGAAAAGAAGTATGGGTACTGCTGATGCCAGAAGCCACAGGCGCCACAGGGGAGTGACAGAACCCTGGCCATCAGAGACTGGCTTCTATTCTCAAGTTTGTTTCAGACGGGGGGGGGGGGGGGGCTGCAGAGATCTGCACTTCTGGCTCCTGATCTGGCTCCTATCCCCTCACCCCAGATCTCACCATTCAGCTCCCCAGGGTAGGTCATCTCAGCCCTCCGCTCTCCCTCAGTTCCCTCCAAGCCGTCTTTCTGGCCCCTCTAGGTTGTTTATGGAACCACAGAGAACAGTCCCGTGACCTTCATGAACTACCCCGAGGACACCCTGGAGCAGAAGGCTGAAAGTGTGGGCAGAATTATGCCGCATACGGAGGTGAGCCCCTGACGGATGCCCCCAGAGCCCACCACACACCACTTGAGGACAGTTGGGGCTTTCTGTCAGGCATCCAAACACCTCGCTCAGCTCTAGAGGGCCCCAGCAACGGGGGCTTGCTGGACCTGGCCCGGCTTTGTGGGTTGAAGCAAGGAAGAGGGAGAGCTGGAGCAGCCGCCCTGAGCAGCCGCCCGCTGAACCTTTCCTCAGCCACCCTTCCTGTCTGAGGTGTGTTTTTGCCAAGCCCACTGTCTGTCTTGGGGCAGCTAGACCAGTCTCAAAAATGAGCCAGAACAGAGATTTTTTTTTCCCCCTTACGCAGCTCTTACTTCCCTTGGGCCCCGCCTCTTCCTCTTTTGTCTGAGCATAAACTCTTCTTTTCCCAAGCTATCTGTCCCTTGAAGGCCCCTTACTCTTCAAAGGCCCCGGGACACTCCCCAGTCTCAGACTCCTAGCTATGACTCCTCTGTGGCTCCAGCCATGTAGCTTTATTCAGCCGTTCCTGAGTGTCTGTGCCTCTTCGGGATGCACCCTGGGCACTGTCAGAGAGACCTCTTTCTCCCGTCCCCGAAGTGCAGACGTGGAAACGTCCAGACCCAGTTTTCCTTGGCACATTGGCTGAGGCTCTTTGTCTACTAGGATTTCGGGTTCTCCCTCTCCTGATCCCATGGCACAGCCATTCTGTCCTTTCTTTGCTGCCTTGTGGGAAGTGAGGGAGACGATGATCTTCCCTTCTACATGGCTCATAATTCAGCATCTGGCCTGGCACTCTCAGGCCTCCTTCAAGGTTGCTCACTACCCAGCCCTGTCCCCTCTGGTGTGAAAATACAGCCAGAGCAGGAATTTAAAAGGCGGGTGGCACCCCCTCCACACACACACACACTCACACACACCCTCTCCATGGTTCAGGCCCAGTGTGGGTCTCTGCGTGCCGATGGGTCTATTCGAGCTTCCTGTTCCTTTCCCTGGAGTGGGATGAGTACAGCCAGCAGCTGGGAGGGTGGGGGGAAAGAAAGGAAAGCTCCCCGCCCCCCATCCCCAGGGAAGCAAGAGAGTGGGAGGCTCAAGCTGGAAACTGACCTGCTGTCTCAGGCCCAGATCGTCAACATGGCCACAGGGGAGCTGACCAAGCTGAACACGCCGGGGGAGCTGTACATCCGAGGCTACTGCGTCATGCAGGGCTACTGGGGGGAGCCACAGAAGACCTTCGAGACGGTCGGACAAGACAAGTGGTATCGGACAGGGTGAGATGGCGAGATGATGTGGACGCTGGCTACCAAGCAGGGCTGGGGGTCTGAGGCTGAGCTAGGAAACTAAAGTAGCACACGGAGGCCATGGGTCCTTCTTGTCCTAGAGACTTGGTTTCCAAAATTTATCTGGGGACAAATAGTGGTAGAGCTCTTGGATGCTATGTGTGAGGCTACAGATTCAATCCCCAGTAGCGTGGGAATGTGGGGGATGGAGAGAAAAAAAACACTTCCAAGGCTTGTTGGAGATGTATCTTAGTTTCCAGTCTCCTTTCTATACAGTGAAACACTGGGTTCAGTCTTCAACACCACATGAACTAGCACGGTGCACACACCTGTAACCCCAGCACTTGGTAGAGGGCAGGGTCATCTTCAGCTACATAGTGAGTTGAGAGCCAACCTGAGCTACATGAGACCTTGTGCCCAATAATGGAAAAAAGAATGGGTTATGGACGCAGTTCAGTGGTTAGAGTGCTTGTCTTGCACAGAGCCCTGGGCTCCGCCCATAGTGCCACAGAACCCCGGGCATGGTGTGCACGTTTGTAACCCTAGTGCTTGGGCGGTGGAAGCAAGAGTATTAGAAGTTCAAGGTTACTCTCGCGTGACCCTGTCTCAAAACAAGCAACAAAGAAATTTCCCTAAGTCAAAATGTGTGTCATGGGGGTGAACCCACTTCTCACAGTGGTGAGACACCAGGACATCACACTACATTTGCAACCCCAGAGTCTGAGCCAGTCTTCAGTGAGTTGTTTGTTAATCAAACACAAGGAAGGGCCTCTACAAGAGCAGCCAGAGCTCCAGTTGAGCCATCTCTCCAGTCCCTAGATTCCTCTTCCTTCATCCCGCCCTCCCTCCCTCCCTTCCTCCCTCCCTCCCTCCCTCCCAACCTCTCTCTCTCTCTCTCTCTCTCTCTCTCTCTCTCTCTCTCTCTCTCTCTCTCTCTTCCTGTCTTTCTTTTTTCCTGAAGCTGAGGCCTGAACCCAGGGCCTTGCGAGGCAAGTGCTCTCCCGCTGAGCTAACCCCCACCCATGCGTGCGTCATGTATTAGATCCACACATTCACAGTCCACACCTGCTATGCGCCAGTGCTGTTCCCAACCTGATGGATGTGGGAAGCAAGATGAGAAGAGGCCTGCTTCTTCCCACGTGTCTGGTGGAAGAAGACAGATCATTTCAGACATCAAATAAATCAAATGGGGTCACAGGAGAGGAAGTGGCTGTGGTGGAGAAAGAGGATTTTCTTAGACCAGGGTCAGAGAAGGCCTCTGGAAACAATTGAGCTGAGACTTAAATGATTCAAAAAGAAGGCATCCATAAAGACAAGCTAATCTATAAATAAGAAGACAGAGAAAATGGGATAGGTGCTGTACTGATTTTTTCCCCTTCTTCCAGCCTAGCCTATAGGTTCCAAAGATGTTTTTTGTTCCTGCTGGGACTCCTAGAATCTAGAGCAATGAGGGACACATAGTAGATGCTCAATAAATGTTTTGTGACTGAGTGAACAAGTGAGCTAGCGGACTAGCACCATAAAGCCGAGGTGAGATGCCATTCCCGGGTTTCTTCTTCCAGAGACATCGCCACGATGGATGAACAGGGCTTCTGCAAGATCGTAGGCCGCTCCAAGGACATGATCATCCGGGGAGGTGAGAACATCTACCCTGCAGAGCTGGAGGACTTCTTCCACAAACACCCACAGGTGCAGGAAGTGCAGGTGAGGCACCGTGAATCTGGTGGTACCCTAGGATTAGCTGGTGAACAGGAGGGGGTTTGCCTTAGGCTCCTGTTGCTGTGATGGAACACCATGATCAAAAGCAACTTGGGGAGGAAAGGGTTTATTTTGTCTTAACTTATCGTAGTCCATCATCAAGGGGAAGCTGGGGTTGGGATTCAAGTAGGAACTAAAGGGGTACTGCTTACTGGCTTGCTCCCCATGGCTTAATCAGCCTGCTTTCTTATAACACCTAGGACCACTAGCCTAGGGATGGCCCCACCCACTGTGGGCTGTCTCCTCCCACATCAATCATCAATCAAGAAAATGCAACATACATAGGCTTTCCCAGAGGCCAGCCTGGTGGGGGTGTTTTCCTACTTGAGGTTCTCTCTTTCCGAATGACTCTAGCCTGTGTCAAGTTGACATTAAAAACGAGCCAGCCCAGGGTTGCAGTGTGGTATTTGTCTTTGACCTTGGATAGGTGGTGGGGGTGAAGGACGAGCGGATGGGAGAGGAAATCTGTGCTTGCATCCGGCTGAAGAGTGGGGAGACCACCACAGAGGAAGAGATCAAAGCTTTCTGCAAAGGGAAGGTGGGACCCCCAACTACCCTTACTCACTCACCTACCTCTCCCTGTCTGTCATCCCCGGTGTGTGTGGGTGGGGTGGGTGGGTGAGTGGGGATGTTGCCTGATGAACCCAACTCTCCAGCCAAGGGAGCACTCTGACCTTGGCCAGTTTCACGCTCTCCCTCTCCGGTCTGCAGATCTCCCACTTTAAGATTCCCAGATACATCGTGTTTGTGGACAGCTATCCTCTCACCATCTCAGGAAAGGTGTGTAAGGTGGAGGGGACTGGAGAGGGGGGACCGGAGAGGGGCAGGGCAGTGTGGGGTCTGGCGGGCCCAGTTGCAGAAGGTCAAGTGGTCCCACCTCTTCCTCCCTCCATAATGAGGTGGCGAGGCTGGTAGAAGAGGGTCCAAAAGTCACTCCGGGGCTTTCTTGGGTTTCATTCTTGTCCCCCTCCCCCACTGTCATTTCCCAGGCAAACCAGGGATGGTTGGTTACCATGGTACCAGAGCAGCAGACTCTCACTCTTGTCTTTCTTCTAGATCCAGAAATTTAGACTCCGAGAGCAGATGGAACAACATCTAAAACTGTGAAGCAAAAGAGGGTCCTCCCAGAGCCTCTCAGCCCTCCCACACAAAGGAGGGTCCTCCCAGATCCCCTCAGTCCTCCCACACAAAGGAGGGTCCTCCCAGAGCCCCTCAGCCCTCTCACATAAAGGAGGGTCCTCCCAGAGCCCCTCAGCCCTCCCACACAAAAGAGGGTCCTCCCAGAGCCCCTCAGCCCCCCCACACAAAGGAGGGTCCTCCCAGAGCTCCTCAGCCCCCCCACACACACAAAGAAGGGTCCTCCCAGAGCCCTTCAGCCCTCTCACACAAAGGAGGGTCCTCCCAGAGCCCCTCAGCCCTCCCACACAAAAGAGGGTCCTCCCAGAGCCCCTCAGCCCCCCCACACAAAGGAGGGTCCTCCCAGAGCTCCTCAGCCCCACACACACACACAAAGAAGGGTCCTCCCAGAGCCCCTCAGCCCTCTCACACAAAGGAGGGTCCTCCCAGAGCCCCTCAGTCCTCCCACACAAAAGAGGGTCCTCCTAGACCCCCTCAGCCGTCCCACACAAAAGAGGGTCCTCCCAGAGCCCCTCAGCCCTCCCACACAAAGGAGGGTCCTCCCAGAGCCCCTCAGCCCTCTCACACAAAGGAGGGTCCTCCCAGAGCCCCTCAGCCCTCCCACACAAAGGAGGGTCCTCCCAAAGCCCCTCAGCCCTCTCACATAAAGGAGGGTCCTCCCAGAGCCTCTCAGCCCTCCCACACAAAGGAGGGTCCTCCCAGAGCCCCTCAGCCCTCCCACACAAAGGAGGGTCCTCCCAGAGCCCCTCAGTCCTCCCACACAAAAGAGGGTCCTCCCAGAGTCCCTCAGTCCTCCCACACAAAAGAGGGTCCTCCCAGAGCCCCTCAGCCCTCCCACTCCCATCAGGCTCTCCTGAGCCCTCCTCAGCCCTCCCACACAAAGGAGGGTCCTCCCAGAGCCCCTCAGCCCCCACACACAAAGGAGGGTCCTCCCAGAGCCCCTCAGCCCTCCCACACAAAGGAGGGTCCTCCCACCCCCCTCAGGCTCTCCTGAGCCCTCCCCATGCCCCTTGTCGTCTTTAGGACTTGGCATAAAGAGTTCCCTGTTTGGCCAGTGTCTGGTTGGTGTGCTCTCTGCAGCTCCTGTGGGGTGGAGAAGGGAAGAGAGGAAGGGAGCCAGCTCCTTCAGATTAGCCCTCCAGGCCCTCTGTTGTACATTACCTCCTTAATCTAAGCCTCACCCTGTCCCCTGGAAATCCCAAGGCCTTCCTTTTTCTTGTCTTTCTTTGTGTGTGTTGGTTTGAGACAGGATCTCCCTGTGTAGATTGTACTGGGATTCACTATGTAGACCAGGCTGGTTTTGAACTCACAGAGATCTCATTGCTTCTGCCACTGGAGTGCTGGGATCAAAGTCGTGTGCCACCGTGGCTGCCTCCATTTTTGTTTTTTGTAAGCTTTACTCATTAATCGTTGTTCAAATTGTTGCTACAGATTAGTCCAGAAATAAATATTGCTGTGTTTCCCCCCCAGTGCTGAGAATCGTAAAGCCCCTCACAGGCTAGATAAGGACTTTTCTGCTGACCTACACTCCCAGCCCAATAATTATGCACTTTTTTTAAATAACAGATTTGAGGGCTGGAGAGATGGCTCAGTGGTTAAGAGGACTTGCTTCTCTTGCAGAGCATTTGAGTTTGATTCTCAGCATCCGCATTGGGCAGCTCATAACCACCTTAACTCCAGCTCCATAGAATTGCATGCCCTCTTCTGGCCTCTGAGGGCATCCCCCCCCCCAATGGCATATACTTACACAGATACATGCAAATAAATAAAAGTAAATCTATAAAATAACAGCTTTATTGAGCAATAACTCACATCCTGTCCAGCTCACCCACTTTAAAGCATATTTTCCTCCAGCATTTTTTTTTTTTTTTTTTTTTTGGTTTTTCGAGACAGGGTTTCTCTGTGTAGCTTTGCGCCTTTCCTGGGACTCACTTGGTAGCCCAGGCTGGCCTCGAACTCACAGAGATCCGCCTGGCTCTGCCTCCCGAGTGCTGGGATTAAAGGCGTGCGCCACCACCGCCCGGCTTCCTCCAGCATTTTTATATCTGAATATAAGTATAACCATCACCAAAGCCAACTTTAAACATTGCCATTACCTCCTAAGGATACTCTGTAGGGGTTTGAGAGACAGATCAGTGCTAAGAGTACTGGCTGCTCTTGCCAAGGACCTGGGTTTGGTTCCCAGCACCCACATGGTAGCTCATGACCATCCATAATTCCAGTTCCAGGAGATCCAGAGCCCTCTTCTGACCTCCGTGGGCTACATGGTTCGCACACAATGTACAGGCCCATACAAGCAAAAACACTTGTATACATTAAATTGATTCATTTATTTTTATTTTATGTGTATGAGTGTTTTGCCTGCACATACGTTAGTATACCTCGTGCATGCCTAGTGCCCTGGGGGTCAGAAGAAGGTGTTGACTCTTCTGAAACAGGAGTTACAAATGATTATGACCCTCTATGTGGGTGCTGGAAACTGAATCCAGGTCCTCTGCAAGAGCAACAGGTGCTCTTAACCACTGAACCATCTCTCCTGTTTCAAATATATTTAAAAAAAGAAAGAAAGAAAGAAAAGAAAAGAAAGTCTGTGGTCTTACTAGGTATGGAGGTATATGTTCATAATTCCACTACTTTGAAAGCAGAAGCAAGGTGAGTGCTGTAAGTTCAAGGCTAACCTGGGCTACATAATAGCAAGTCCAAAACCAGAAAGGAAGGAAGGAAGGAAAACTTTATATTTATCATTCTTTATCTTTCTCAACCAACCCATTTTCTTATTTTATTGTACAATTTTTGATCGATGAACCCGGGATGTCTCTAATGAACAGATTCTGCTTCAAAAAACCAAAAGAGCAATAGGAAAAAGTCAGAATGGTTTAGAACATGGAACAAGACGGGGTGAAGGCCAGTGGCCTGCCAGTGAGTAGCTAATCTTCATGGCCCTTGGCAGGTCACTTGTCCAAAAGGAATGGTGGCATTAGCATGATCTTCGGGTAGAGTGTCTGTCCTCTGATGCCCAAAGGCCAGCCACTGGATACTTGAATAGGCCAAAAGAAAGAGTCAAGGGTTTCAGCGAAGGCAAACTTCAGGCCCCAGAAAAGTAATGTAGACAACAGTGACCAGGATTCAGAGTTGTCATCCACCGCAAAGTTATTGGGAAAACAAATGACTAATACTTGGTTGTGTGACCCCAAAAGCTAGTGGGACTTTGTTCCTCTGTCATGGGGAAGGGACTCAGGGCCTCAAGCATGCTTAGGCTAGATCTTTTGTCTAATTGACGTTTTGTGTGTTCGAGGTAGGGTCTCATGTAGTAAGTTAGTCTCAATCTCCTTGTGGAGCTCAGGATGGCTGCTTAAACTCTGGATCCTCCTGCCTCCACTTCCCAGGTCCTACAGTGACAAGTATGTGCCACTATACAGGGCTCGCAATGATCTAAATATTGTTTAATGAGTGTAGGGTGTAGGTGTAGATGGCACAGCACACATGTAGAGGTCAGAGGCCCACCTTCCGGAGCCCATTCTGTCCACCACACTCAAGGTGTTAGGTTTGCATCCTTGGGCAGATTTTGCACTCTGAGCTGGCTTGCTGGTTATTGATATTAATGTTGAGTAAATTCAGGCAACTAAAATCCAAGTGAAGCCCGATTGGAATTTATTTGGTTGTTTCCCTCAACTCCATTGTTTCCCCACTTGAAAGAGACAGAAATAACCTTGTCTACAGCCCTGAGCTCCCGTGCATGGGGCTGCCCCTTCTGCAACCCTGAGCTCCCTGCACGGCCGCCCCAGCATCAGCACCTCCTTCCTTTTGAAGAGCTGAGTGTTATGTTTAAGTTCCTCTCAAGGACCAGGCACTGTTCCAGATGCCCTCACATGCATCTTCTCTTGAAAGCTTCCTGGCAGCCCCATTAAGTTAGCATCAGTCCTTGTCACAGAGGTGACCCCGAAACACAGGGAGATCCACTTTCTTGCCCAAGGACATGAAATCACCTGGTGGGTTAAGAAAATCTCCCCAGCACGACTTCGATTCTCCTTCACTTGTAGTTTGTTTCTTTCCATCCCTTCTCGCTCTCCCTTTTTGTGAGACAGAAACACAGGCCAACCTTTAACTCTTGGCAGTCCTCCTGTCTCAACCTCCCAAGTGCTAAGATTACAGTTGTGTGTCCCTATTCCTGGCATATGTTGTGTTTTTCTGTTGTTGAGCCAGACACCAAGGTTGTCTAGAGATCTCTGTGAGCTTGAGGCTAGCCTGGTCTATGTAGTAAGTTCTGGGCCATCCAGGGCTACATAGTTAGACCCTGTCTTAGAAAAACAACAACTAAACCCCCAAAACAACAACAAAAATTAAACCTGGATATGGAAAAGCAGAATTTATGGACATGTATGTTTTGTCTTAGAGTCACACAGTTGATGAGATCACTAACTTTGGCTAAAGGAAGACTAATAATTAATCTTAGTGTCTACCTGTCTGTGGTTTGCATCCCCTTCCGCTTTCAAAAACGCATAAAAGAGGACCAATGAGAGAGGGGATCAGTGGGTAAAAGACACTTGTCACCAAACCTGATGCATTGAGTTTGATCTCTGGGACCCACAGAGTAGAGGCAGGGGACTGACTCCTTTAGTTTGTCCTCAGATCCTTGCATAAGCCCTGTGGTGTGGGTGTCCATACACATGCACCCACAAGTAAGTGAAAAAGATGCATAAAAGGCCCACAAGTTGGGTTAATAGCAAGACGACAGCTGAGGGGTTTTGAACCACCGTTGCTCAAGCCAGCTCCCTTCTCCCAGCACTGACTCCTGGGCCATTAATTTCATCGAGAGAAGATGTGAATCTTCTGGGCCCAGCTGTTTGAAGCAGGTTCATTTCGCACTAGTTATCAACTTGCTTGCCTGGATCCTCTTGCCAGAACGCTCAGTCATGTTACATGAAGCATGTGCATTCCTTAGAGACAGCAAGAGAGAAAAGACTGGACTCACTGGTACCCTAGGCACAGGAGAGCTGCCGGCTGTGGATGGAGTCTCATCTGTGTGTGCCCCGCTCTCCTGCAGCCGAAGGATAGGAAAACGACCCTCCCTGGGTTGT